CCAGAAAGTGGGAATTTCAAAACAAAAATTATTATACTTAAAACATTAATCTTCCCACATATTCCAAATCATTCTGTGAATTGAATAGGTCCTGTACTGGACAAAACTGGAGGTCAGAAACTTAAAGGAAGCAAAGCACAAGTCAATTATAACCCAAGAACTTAAAATTTGAACTTGAGAAAATCAAAAGAGAAATTTACGAATTGACATGAAAATAGAAACAATAATTTTAGCCATCAAAGTCAATTCGGAAGAAAGACAATTAGCCTTAAATGTCCATTAAGTCATTGCATGGCCAACTTGCATATTCCAAGAGGCTTAGGCACAATTTCCAACGAGAGACCAAGTCAAATTACGGATAAAGAGTTGATTTTATCATAATTCTATCTTTTTAGATTTAAGTTTCAATTTAAACATTTAAATTGCATAATAGGCGTTTTTAAGGAAGGAGTTAGATTCAAATTCGGATTCCTTCCCTAAGAGATTATCTTTAGGCGTTTAGAAAGAAGGAGTTGGAGTCAAATTCGGATTCATTCCCTAGGATAAGCTTTAGACTTGCGTTTATCTTGTTTTTAGGTTTATCTTATTTTAGGCTTCTATCTCATTAATGATAGGATATGACTTTTCAATTTTTAAACATTTTTCAGCTTATACTCGGCTATTTAAGGCTGAAAAACGAAAAATTAATAAAGTTTTGATGTTTATTCACTTTGTGAGATATTCTTCTTGAGTTCTTGAAGAACTATTCCGAACTTATCAAGGTTTTCCTTGTAGCGTTCACCCTTGACTTATCAAACGGAATTTTCATACTCGTTTGTGGCGTCTTCACCATACAAAGGTTCTTGCTTTGTTAAGCAACGGGTCGCGGTTTCCATCAATTCTTGAAGATCTTGGATCGTATCCCATATTTGGCTACGGGTTTCGTCACATTGTTGACGGAGTTCGTATCAAGAAACTTAAATAAAGCAAAGCATAAGTCAATTATAACCTAAGAACTTAAAATTTGAACTTGAGAAAATCAAAAGAGAAATTTACGAATTGACATGAAAATAGAAACAATAATTTTAGCTTAGCTCTTAAACATGGATAAATTGCTTTCGGGGTTGTCTATTTTAGGCTTTTTCTAGAATTGAGTCTCTAAGAGGCAATTTCACAAAACAACCATGATCATGTTGTCTTGTGCTCACAACAGTCAAAGGAAAGCCAAGCAAGAACATACGACAAGCAAATGGCTGATATTCCCTCTATTTAAGCTTTTCATTATGCAATTCACAAAAATAGCATGGCTTTCTCATAAATCTATAAGATTAAGAAACCTTTGATCATTAACCCCCCTGCCCTGCAGGCATTATGTATAAGCAGCTGATTATATTATATGTTTGTGTTTCTTGATATATATTCAAATGTTGAGAATTATGGGCCTTTTGTAAGTTAAGGTTTAGGTTTCGAGATTAAATCTTTTGTCTCTTCGGAACATAATTAATGTACATGGAAAGTACGTACGCGAAGTTCTGAAACCAAAATGTTTTCCTCTCAACCAACGTTTTTCTATTTCTTTATTTATTCTTTTAATTTGATCCTTTTTTGACCCTTTTTTTATTTTGTCCTGAAATTTTAATATTCTTCATTTAGATTCTTTTTGCTATAAAACTTATTTGTTTCTTCATTTTAGTCTTTTTTGACTCTTTTGTTGTACTAAGATTTTGTTTTTTTGAGTTCCTTTTTCCTAAAATTTATTTATTTCAATTTTGGTCGTCTTTTGATTTTTTTTTTAATTTTACATTAAAGCTTTATTTTTTCATTTAGGTCACTTTACCTTAAATCTTATTTATTTTTTCATTTTAGTTCTTTTTTACCCCTATTGTTCCCTTCAAAACTTTTTTTTTTTTTTTTCATTTTTCCCGTTTTAAGTTTTTATATTCAAAATTTATATGTTTTTTTTATAATAACACGGTAACTAAAATTTAATACTCAAATTACTCTCTACGCGCATCGCATGTGAAATTGAACTAGTATCGAGTAAAAAACTTATTCATGAAAAAGTGAAAGCGCGTTGAATGACAAGTATAGAATTAGGGCCCGTTCGGTTCGCTAATTCGAGTTGAGATGTGATGTTGTGTGAGAGCTTTTTACTGTAGTAAAAAAGTTAGATGTGACTGTTTCTGAGAGCTTTTTACTGTAGCAAAACTCAAATTCTAAATTCGAATCAGCGAAAAGAATGGGGCTTAGTGTCTTTGAGATTATTTACGAGCTGGGGTAGAGAGAGCTCCATTTTCTAAACGTTCACTAGATTTGCCCAAACAATTAGCTAGGTAGGAGTTAAGAGGACGAAGAAAGTATAGGCAATATATGCATGTGAACGGGGAAAGTGAAATAAACCAAGTAGCTAGCTATAAATTAAACCTAATAATCTTAAAAATCATATATATTCACCTTCGTGAGAGTAGTACTAAATATTGGCTTGAACCACCGGTCAAAGTCAATACTTTTCCTACTCACTCCTCAATTCATTAGTCCTCAACCTCAGCATGACCCCGCGCGTACGTGTGATTATATCTACACCTTGAGGCTACCACATCTTCTTCCGTTACCTGACCTGATTTATTCCAAAATTTCTCTCATCGATCTCCTATAATATATATATATATATATATATATATGTTGTGACAGAAGCCCAGAGGAAAGAAACTAATCGACAAATAAAGAAGATATGAAATTACTAATCTTATTCCTCAATCTTAAATTTATTTGGCACCTATTGATTCGTCTCTCATCCTAAAATAAATATGATACTGACTCACACGTAATCAGTTGACGTGAAAACGTATAACTTTTTGACATGAATTTGAAATCCAAAACCATAATCGTGAGAACTTCTAAAACTGAGTTATATTTCTAAGATAAACTCAAAATGCATAAGAAAGAACTTATAATCTAGAGCTGGATTAAATATATATGCATGTATCTGTGCGTGATTTTATGCTCGTAAGTGCACGTGCCATAATTAAGTAATAAAGAGTGAGTAAGAGTGTCGATCCCACGATAATTGAGTCACCGATAATACAATGTAAAAGTCACCTCAAACACCAAATTTAATAAAAGAATCAACTAACTACAATTCAATAAATTAATTAGACAAAAAGGAAGCAATGTAAATGCAACAAGAAATAGTAAAGATAACGAGAATGCAACTATAGACCTTAATTTAATGATTAAATGGGTGAAGAAAGTTAAAACAATCCTTCTCTGAGTATTAGTCCCCTTTTCTTCTTCCTCTCTGTTCTGCACTATTTAGTTCTCTTTTTTTCACAAAAATAGCATAAAGCCTTATTAATGCTTTTTTTTTCTTTTTGGTTTTCTCGGGCTCTGTGCTCTAAGCTTAGGGAGCAAGATGCTTCCCCCTCTGGCGGCTGCAAAAGGATGGGATACTAATCCCTCTTATTCCTCTGCGTTAGTGAAGCAAGAGAGAGGCTCAAGGGTTTCTGATGTCAACTGAACATGTGGCGAGTTAAGAGTGGTGAAGGAGCTAGTGGGATCCATGTGGCAGAAGTGGAGAGAGTGAGAGCGAGGGCGCACGCAGACTAGGTGGAGCGCGAAGCAAAAAATTTCACTCGCTAGCTGATGAGTGCTGATGTGTGGATATGACCTGGTTTGAATTTTCTCTACAAATTTGATCCTAATCAAGCTTTATCTTTTCAATTTGGCTCCTTTTTCTTTGTACGTTTGACCCCCATTACATTTCAAATTTTTCACTTAAGCCCCACTGTTACACAAATGAGAACATTAATTATTTTAGAAGGAAAACTAAAATAGAAATTACCAAAACTAAAGTAAATAAACTAAAATAAATTAAAATAAATCTAAAATGAAAAGTAAATTCACTAACATTCAAAATAAAGTAAAGTAAAATAAAATAAGCTAAAAATTTCAAAAATTAACCACTTTAAATGCACAAAAATAGTGAAATAACTCTATTTTTAATAGAGTTGTCGTACCTCCAAACTTACTATTTTCCTAGTCATCGAGACAAACAAAAACGAAAATACTTAAAAATAAAGTGTGAATTTTGTGGGTGACTTCTCAATAAATTTTCCTCAAAAATTGAATCAAGAACATAGCTTAGAGAATATTTCTAGGATAAACTCAAAATGCATAAGCAAGAACTTATAATCTAGAGCTGGATTAAATATATATGTATGTATCACTTAAATCTAGACCGATCATGTCATAATTCGCTACCACTTGACATAACTGATGATAAAACTAAAACTAATAAAGAACAAATATTAGGCATTTATAGTCAAACCTTTAAAAATTAAAGACACAAGAATATATTATAATTTCTATATATATATTTTGAAAAGTATTATTTCTACATTTTTAAGTATATAATATTATTTATTATATACGTATTCAAACTTGGATGATCAAGTTTGAATACGTATATAATAAATAATATTTAAAGAGTAGTCCCGAATAAATCAATCTGATTAAAACTTGATCGTCCAAATAGTCTACTCCTTTGGAGGTCAGATTATATTGTCAATCGTCAAATCATGTATATATGATGAGATTTTAGACGATTTTAATTTGGTCATTGCTATTATTTCAGCAACTCGTGGCCCGTCATATTATATGCAAGTCAAAAGATATTGTACAAAAGAGGTATGGCGTGATGAAAAATGCTAAAAGCATCTCCTCAACTTTCTCTTATCCATATTATCAAAAACCACTTTTGTCCAAATGATTCACACCTTTGTTTTAAGAGGTGTGGTATGATCTCTTTAAGCTAGAAAACGAAAGATGTGTGAAAGGAACATATGTATATATATAAACGACATAAAAGATGACCACAAACTTGTATTGATTTGGTGGGATTAATGGGATATTCACATTAGTGATTAGACAAAAGGTCATACGTATAACATCGCTTTATAGGCCCCCCAAATTATGCCGAAACATAATGATTAATGATTTTACTTTCACCCACCAAACCACAAGCCAAATTAGAATTAGTTTACTTCAAATTCAACTTTACGTTCCCACTGAGATTTACAAAATCCCCCTCACGGGGAATCTTTAGTATTTCCTAAATTTCACACCATATATATATATATAATAACGACGTTTAATAATTCCAATACTCAATTATTCTGCCTCATCACCAAATTAAAAACCCACTTATAAACAACACGTTCATCATGTCCAAGACTCGCCAATATTAGCAAACACCCAAAAGCCCTAATTGAGAGAGAGAGAAAGAGAGATCGTAAAAATTAACCCGAAAAAGACGACCATCAAAAATGGGAAATAGTATTACAGGAGGAGGAAAAAAGAGAGTAAAGATAATGAAAATCAACGGGGAGACCTTCAAAGTGAAGATCCCAATAAGAGCTTTGGACGTCACCAAAGATCACCAGGGACATGTCCTCTTAGATTCCGAAGCCGTTAAACATTTCGGTATCAAAGCCAATCCCTTGGAACCACAACAACACCTTAAGCCCAACAAGGTTTATTTCTTAGTAGAGATTCCCAGGTTTCCGACTTCCGAGAATAATCAAGATGAGATATCGAGAGGCGCACGGAGGGTCCGGTCCGGGATAAACATGAGCGCCAAGGACAGGCTCGAGTGCCTCATGCTGTCACGGAGGTCCGTTTCGGACATGTCCTTGCTACGGCCGTCGTCGTCTACGGGCCTGAGCTCTGGTGGGCCGGGCCCAGTGAGGGTGAAGATGAGGCTGCCCTTGGCCCAAGTTGAGAAGTTGGTGGAGGAAAGTAGAGATAAGGTTGAGGTGGCTGAGAAGATTCTTGCTCTTTATATGGGAGACGATGGAGGTGCTCACGTGGCGGCGGCGAAAGACGGTGGTTTGATCCGCCGTGAGGAGTGGAAGCCAGGTCGAGCTAGTATCACGAAGAATCACGAGGCTCGTCAGGTAAGCCTTTTCTTTATATATATATATATATATATATATACAAAATAAAATAATAATTAGTGTTATTTTCTGTTTTATTTGATAGGAATTTCTCTGGTACGTGGGTAAGTTAAATATTTTTAATCGTTAGATTTACATATTTTTTTACTTTTATATGTTTTTATGTAAATTTAACAGAAAAAATTTGAGGTATATAAATATATCGCAGAAGATCTCTTATTTGATTCATTTTGGTGTCCGATGTGATTTTTTTTTTTGTGTTATTTTATTTCATTTCATTCGTTAGCCTTTTCACGTGATGTGTTGGTTTGTCAAATGGATATTTACATTTTTATATTTTGTGGTTTAGGTGTATTTAAAATTTATACTTTTAATTTTTAAAATATATATTTTTAAATTAGATTTAATATACAAATTTATATCTCATTTCAGTCAATAATTGAATTTAAACAAAACAATCCCCAAAAAAAGAGAGAAAAGAAATTAAAACTTTCCAATATTACAAACAATAAAAATTTAAAACACAAAAAAATTTCATTTCAACAGTATTTTGTATATTTTTGAAGTCAAAATTGTAAGTTTAAGTTTTTTTTTTATTTTTTTATTTTTCTATTCAAGGTATTTTAGGTATTTCAAAGTTAAAAATTAAGAGTTGGCTGTATAAAGGTATAAATTTAGATATTAAATCTAATTTGAATGTATACATTTGATGAGATAAAAAATTAAAAGTATAGTTTTTGAATAAATCCAATACACAAGGTATAAAAAGGTAAATATCCTGTTTGTCAAATATCTTAAAAATTAAGCTTAATGTAGGATAAAATTTATTTATTCATAAAAAAGGATTATGGTGAATTCTGTCGGTAAATGTTAAATTTGCACAACGTTCTGGTTCTAGTTCGTTTTATTTTTATTTTTATTTTCTTTTTTGAGGATAAACGTTCTAGTTCTAAATAGTTCTCATATTTTAATTTTGAGTAATCCAGCACAAATGATTATTGGTTTCATAAGAATTAAGAAAAGCATTTTTTTAAACATAGAAAAGGATTGAAATAATACTATTTTTATGTGATGTTTTAGTCGTTTATCATTTTTTTTTTAAAATCAGCTGTATTCAATGGTGCATGAAGCATAAAAGAATGATGATTTTTCTATAATATAAAGTGACTGGGTTTTGTATTACCATGGAATGTGACAATTGTTGTAGATTAACGTATTATTCTAATATTCCCTAAACAAAAAAACAAAAAAAAAGACTATTTTAGTACTCGATCGTCTCCACATCAATGTATCTGTATTTAGTTAGAAAACAAGTTTAATTGAATGCTTAATTACTCATATGTATCATAGGGGATCGGATTAAAGATCGACATGTTTTTTCATTATTCTAGATAGTTATGAATAATTAATATGTATTAAGAAGCAGCAAAGTGTTTTTTTTTTTTTTTTTTTTTTTTTTTTTTGGGACCCGGGGTGGGGCACATGCAGAAAATTTTAGCTGCCTTCTTGTTGTCAACTAATAACTTCAAGTCTTTAATTAAGTAATTATATTAGTAAATGTCCCTTTCTTTGCCTCATCCACCTACCGAGAAAATGTCCAAACCATTAGCATTTAAAGTCAGAAATATTTGACCATATTTTATTGGAAACATTATTATTATAGTGGGTGGTGGGAGATGATTGGTTTTAGGAAGCACACCAAATAAAGGTGAAAATAAACTAACTTTATAGACCTGAGAAAGAAGAGCTTGATAAGTGCCACTTTATGTTAGCTGGGGAGTCAGAAATTCCTTTAAGAGTATGTTTGGTAAGAAGGAGAGATGGGGAGGGAGAGGTACAATCTCTTATTTGGTTGTGGGAGAGGGGGAATGAGAGAAGAGATGAAGGGAGACTCTGGGCTTGTTTGGTTCAACAGCTCAAACTGTAGAGATTTGAATATTTTTTGTTTAAATTGTAGAATTTAAACTGTGGTGATTCAAATTGTGATCCGAATTATTGTTTAGGTATGTAAATAAATTATAATTTAAATTGAGAATAAAATATGAACTATGATTTAAATAAAGTGTTGAATACTGTCATTAGAGTTTTGTTAACAAATCTTATAAAATCTCATTATAAATGACATTAAAAAATATGCAATATGGATGGGGATTTGTTCCTCTCTTCATTATGAACACATTAAAAAAAAATTATCTCAATGGGAATTAAACGAAGAAGTTATGAAATTTTTAAGATTGAAATTGAAGAGAGAGAAAAAGTAAAATCTAAAACTATTGGACTATTGATGACAATTCGGATTATTAGAATTTAGGGGTAGGTGAATTCTAAAATTAATAGTTTGAGTTGTCCTTAAATCATTATTAATGGTTTGAATTGTTCTTGAATTTTCCTCTCCCAAACATCAATTTAAGTCATGAACTAAGGTTTAAATCCTAAACAACAGTTTGAGTTATTGAAATAAATAGGGGCTAAGTTTGTATTTTTCGCATAGTAAGCAAAGAGATTTGTTGGACTTGGACAATTCACTGGCAACTTGTAGACAATTGAAAGAAAAAACAAACAATATGGAAGTTGTAGGAGAAAACACAACAAAATGATAAATTCAAACAAATAAAATGCCCGTTTAGTTCGCTGATTTAAGTTTTTAATTTGAGTTGAGATATGATTTTATGTGAGAGTTTTTTACTGTAGTAAAAAAGTTAGATGTGACTGTTTCTTAAAGCTTTTTACTGTAGCAAAATTCGAATTCTAAACTCGAATCGGTGAAATAAATGAGACAAAAATATTCCATGCAGGAATGTTGGTGGAGTCATTTTGGTCAATTAGCAGAGTCTATTGACCTTGATAATATATTTCCCGTTTTCGTCATGTAATTCGCAGGAAAAATGCCTAGTTTCGTGGTTGTTGTAAACTACAAGTAAAAGTGAATACTGACTAGGCCAAAGCCTCAGTTTCTTTGTTGACCAATAACCCATACTTCTCCTAACGCCAACTGCACCTAACCTTTTTTAACTTATCGTTTGCTTTATGACCTTTTTTTAGGATTAGTTGTTCTATGGGTCTCTTGAATTTTTCAATTTGGGCTCAAATTAATCTACTTGATTAAAAATTATTGACTACTTGTGGTAAATTCCATCCTCTAGTTGTTAAAAGTGGATGGTTTTCTTCACGTGAAGAAATCGACAGTTTTCTCCCCGAATTAAAATCTCCTCAAATATCTGTTTCCATAATTTGTGTTGAGTAAATGATAAATTTGATTGGATATGTCTGAAAAGTAATCTTATTGAAGCAATAGAACTTTGTTTCTGTCTGTTTTGCTTGTTGCCAGCAGGGTTGTTCAAGTGTTAGGGTATAACTTCTTATAGAAGTTGATAACTGACATCAGTGTAAGAGTCAAGTGTATCCCAACTAGAAGAGAAGTGGAGCATATGCACAAATAAGAAAAAAAGTTTTTTTTTTTTTTTTTTTTTTTTTGCTATGGAAAAAAATTAGTTGCTTATTATGATCTTTTTCTTTCTTAGTAACGTATAATATATATATATATATATATATATATATATATATTGTGGGTCAAATTTAGAATATATATATTAAAAGTGTCCTGAACTCTTTAATTTTTTTCTTATGGAAATTAGAAATAATGTTAATGCATAGTTTTTATTCCAATTTTTAATGTGTATATATATCACTAGCAATATTATTGTATTGTTTTCCGGACGTACGTAGTACTAATGTCGATATGATTTTCGTTTATAAATATTTTGCAGAAGCGAGTGAGTTTCCTTCCAATTGAAGAGGGAGAAATTCGATTAGCTTTGGCAGCCTCTTAATTGCCTTTAATCAACAAACAGCACCGGCCGGGGACTTTTCCTATTAATTTGGTGTCCAGCTTTTTTTGTATATAAATTCATTCTTCTGTCTTTCTCAACTCGATCGTGGACGATCTATCATATATTTGTTCCTTATTGTACTAGAATAGCAGCAATTAAAAGATGTATTAGCCAAAACAAATATCCGTCTCACTGCATGCCCTCAACCATATATATATATATATATATATGTGTGTGTGTGTAATTTCATAATTTGTGAACCATAATCTTCAAAAATCAAACTAAACTTGATTAAAATAGTCCTAATGTCGTTTTAGCACTTAAGAGTGTTAGTTTGATTCACGTCCCCTGGAAAAAAAATAAATTTTCTGGTTCCATCCACTACTCTTGGTAGTCCTAGAGATTTTTATTTGATCATATAACGTGATTTTCATTCTTGCTTTATTAGTCTATTCTGGTAGATTAATGTAGTTTTAAATTAAAGTCAGTATATGCTCAAATGTCTTATAAAGCTGCTCAAAATGTAGATGGTAAAATATATCGGTGGCTAATCTCCCAAAGGTAAGTAATAGTATTCAGGCTCCTGATCTTTGCTTTTTAAGAAATAGACGACAAATTTTACACTCCTAATAAAAACACAGAAAAGCAAAGCATAAGCTATTTACAAATGTTAATCCTTTCTTCATTGATGCAAACACAATTTAAAAGAAAAAATCCGGGATAAAAAACAGACAAACAAAACAAAATCTCAAACGTAACGTCTCGAGTACTGTTATTGGCCGTAATGGCCTAATTGGCACGGATAAAGTTCATTCATGATTCTTCAAATGAAACGCAATTTCATTCATGCTACGTGAGCTTACTAAACTATTTCAGTGAGGCGATTCCTGAAGAAGATTTCCCTGAGAATCATACACAATTTTCCCGGAAAAATCTAGCGGACGACAACGTTCTCCCCTCATGATGGTCTTCCTCCAAACTTCTTCCTCTCTAGTACTAGTACTAGTTTGATCATTACGATCAGCAGAATCCTCTTCATCTGCCTGCAACTTCTTCCAAGAAATCATCTTCGCCATCGAAACAACTTTTGTGCTGATAGAACCATTCATTCTCGAAAGGAGCTTCTTGTTGCCCGATTGATTTGTTATGATTATGTCGTCCTTGATTTTCATATGAGATTTCTTAGTTTTGTAAAAAGCACATAAAAAGGTTACAAGAGAAAATATAGATGCAGTTGCAATTAGGGCGGAGAGAAACGAAATGGGTGTCCGTGAAAATGGAAGACGGCGAATATTGGGATAGCTCAGAAAATGTGGCCTTGCCATTTGCTTAGTAAAGATCATCTGCTAAACAAGTAAATGAGGAAGAAACAGAGAAGAGAGAGGACAAAGGCAAAGCTCTGGACATATGGAGATTTAAGCTTTCTTGAGCTATATAAAAGGCCAATCACAACTACTATATATATAAAGTTAAAATCTTTACACCCCTATGAATGGCTAATGCTCTTGTCCCCGCCAAGTACATGAATATATATCATCTTTTAGATGACAAAAAAAAAAAAAAAAAAAAAAAAAAAAAAAAAAAAAAAAAACTATATATATATATATATCTAATCTATAAGTGAGATTTATTACGTAGATCCCGTTGGTAATTGTATATAACATCCTATGGTTTGACCAAATGAAAAAAAAAAAAGTTTGATTGTTTTAGGGCGTTTTTTTTTTTTTTTTTTTTTTTTTTTTTTAATGAAAACTAGTATTTTTTTCTTAGGATGAAAAGACGATTTTAATACTTGTAATTTCTAAACATTGTCACTTTCTCAGAATTCTCAATGAGGTAACTTAGTACAAAATAATAAAATAAATATAATAGATCCATTAACCTGTTAGATTCACACAGAACATCAGAAAATAACTTCAAATTTTTTTTCAAATAAATGGAGAGAGAGGAAACTAGTATCTTTTTCTTAGGATGAAAAGACGATTTTAATACTTGTAATTTCTAAACATTGTCACTTTCTCAGAATTCTCAATGAGGTAACTTAGTACAAAATAATAAAATAAATATAATAGATCCATTAACCTGTTAGATTCACACAGAACATCAGAAAATAACTTCAAATTTTTTTTCAAATAAATGGAGAGAGAGGAAACTAGATTATGTCATCATTCAAGGCCTAGTCTTGTGTCTACAAGACTATTTCAATCGAAATCGGACAGCTAGCATGTTCCGGAGGACGCAAAATTGACAGATATGGTTAAAAATATCTACAATTATTATTATTTTTTTAATTTGGTATTATTCTCTTCTCTAGGAAGGCCATGTACAAGCAAAGCAAGGTGAGTTTTGAGCAATTTAACAAAAGAAAAGGAGTGACTTTATCAAAACGGACATGATTATTTTGTTCTTTAATTCTCTACTCTTGAAGTTAAAATTGCTATTTTTTTATTAGTTTCATCTAATTGATTAAGTGGTAACCACTGCATGTCGATTAATTGGGTTTATAAGTTCAGATATTTTATGGGTTGGATATCCATCCTATATATATCGAATATCTGTTGTGAAAAATCATAAGGTAAGTATACGCTATCGCAATCAAATAATATAATAGTGAATAAGAATATCGTCCCACGAGAATTGTTGTTTACTAATTACCGAAATTATATTAACCCTAATTTTATTTGAATACTTGAAAAGAGAATTTATAAAATTAAGTAAGTAAAACTAAAACAATTAAATAAATTAAACAATGCTAAGCAATAGATGAAAATTTAATAGATTAAGATTCTAGGGTTTCCGATTTCACCAAATTAATCATGTTTAAATTCTCATAATTCAAGAAAATTAACATTCAATCTTATACTGACAGCAATTTCTCTAAAGCAATTATTATTCTTTCTCAAGCAACAATAATATTAATCCAACAAGCAAAATCTACATCTCTGTCAGACTTCTAAACCTGTTGAAAATCATTAAATGTAAGAAATTCAAAAAAACTGCACAAGCATCATAGATATCTCTATCCTATGAACAACTCATAGTATTTCAATTAAGAGCTTATTCAATTATCACTTTTCAGTCTCAAATCAAATACAAAATCATGTAATAATTGGCCAAACAATCACAAGCATTAAGAATAAATTGAAATACTCAGCATATATGGATTAAACATCAATTACTTAAAAATAAGATTGAGAATTCGAACATTCATAATCCGGCTACATCGTAGCCCTAGAAAAAGGAATTAGTTTATCTCTAAACAAAATAAATTCCTAAACAAAGTCTTAATCATTGGAAAGGAAAGAAAAGAACTAGTTTGGAGTTGAATTGAAGCGTCTCCGTTTCCGGATTTGTGCCGTTCTTCTTCTCCATCCCAATTCTCCTTTTCTTCTCTTGAATACTCTCTCAAAAGCCAGCCGTCATTCCACAGTCTAAAAGTCCTTTCTAATTGCCCGAGAATCATATATTTATATGTTTCAGAGTATTAGGGTCAAAACGGGTAAGTTTTTTCGCGATTGGCCTTCAAAACGCATAATTTCTCGCGTCGTAGCGCCGCGGTGCTGAGTTTCTAGCGCTGCGGCGCTATTATGTAAAATCCTTGGGCGCTACGGCGTTGTAATGGGCGCCTAAGCGCTGCCCATTCTGCCCCAATGCACTAATTCCGTCGGATTTCAGTGAAATTTGTCCAAAACCTTCCAAATCATAGACTTTCACCTAACCTTCAAACAAAGAACAAAAACACACATAAAAACTAACAAAAACTTCGAAAACTAACTAGTTATTAAGTGTAAAACGATACTAAATTAGTGAGTAAAACTCACTCATCAATCCCTACGAAGTAGGAACTTTTTTTTTTTTTCTTCGAATGAAACTTCCACCACATCCCATTCGTATTCATCACCACATCCTATTTCTATTATTCATCACCTCAAGATTCACCGATTTGACCAATTATTAGCCTTCTGGAGATTTAAAAAAAAAAAAAAACTTCTGTTGATAAGCTAGAATTCCAAATATACACAAAATCAAAACCTTTTGCTATTATAATTATAAGCGCAGTAAAAGCGCGCGCACACACAAAATACATGAAATAGGCATTTTTAGTAACATATATGGGTCAGAACACGGACACATGACCATACAACACAAGTCAAAAGATGAAGAAGCAAACACGGATGATGACGCGAGAAAGAGAGAGAAATATATGATGGATTGACGAGAATTGAGGATAGAGAGTTGAGATATCAGATAGGAATGGCATTGGTGACTCTTGGGTAGACGACGGCGGCAGGATGAGCCATGATCCGTCGACCCTTGACGTGTTTGAAGCAGTACACGAGGGCTCCGACAGGCCATTCCACAATGGCGGCGGCGGCGAAGGCCAAGAACCCCAGCGTGGGGCCCACCACCTTGCACCGGCAGGGGTTGCTCCTCGTCCCGCACTGCACGCATCTCGGAATCCCAATGCCTCTTGCCATTTTAATTTCCTACTAGCTAGTACTACTGCACTTTCAAGTATGTATTTGTCGTATTAATTTGTGGTAAACGATATACATATGATTATTTTTGGATTGATCAGCAAGCGTTTGTTGTTGTTGTTGCTGCTGCTATTCAAAGAGTTAATATATAGATAGATCATAGATAGTTTGGAGGGTAAAGAAGGACGGTGCTACGTGTCACTTATAGAAGATGCATGTACGTTCTAAGAAGTAGACAGATGTAATGCTTTCACTGAATTTGGGAATCATCCGATTGACTCTCCTTTTTCAATATCACTAATAAGACCAGCACTTGTTGCCTTGCATGTGCTTGCTTTTCTTTTATTAATTACAAAAAAATTCTCCATAAATTATACTTTTTATAACATTTTATTTTTTATTTTTAAAACGTAACATATATTCTTTTTAAATAATAAAATATTAAAAAAAAAATTATATCCGTTAAAATTCCCTTGATAGGAACTAGGGACGATGTGGCTGTATTTTGTATGATTCTCTCGAGTAATTGGCGAGACAGGAACCTAATGCTGTTTGAAGGAAGATTGGGTGGACAGGTATACACTAAACGACTATTCCTCATGAGACCAAGCCAGAAGGGAAAATAAAGGATTCACGTTTGCGTGCAAACCAAGCCAGAAGGGAAAAAAATTCTCTGTGTTGACCCCACCGACTAAAAAATATATATATACATTATCAATATGAATCTTCACCCTTTATCGACATTTCTAAGAACAGTAACTGTGATGTCTTGGCAGGTCGCTAACTTTAAACTATTATTAATATGTTAAGTTATAATTTAATTTATTATTTATTATTAGACTATCGTCTTTTTAATTTATGTTTTTATACGAGTAAATTTTTTTTCTTTAACCTTCGGGTTCTTAACATGTTCCTAACATGTTCTTTTGTTATACAACAATTTCCTCTTGCTAATACTTTAAGAAATCGGATATGAAACTAGTCCCCGAAACTTATCTTAACTTATTATAGTCTGTTGTTCTTTATTAAGACAATGACCGTAACATCTTTTTCTTAAAACTGAAACATATAAACTTGGTTCTATATTACATTACTCTGCAGCGGAAATAAATTTATAAGCGAGCGTAGAAGAGACCACTCCCGTGTACCCAAGACATTTCCACCACCCTTGCCTCTGCCGGTCCATCAAGCAAAACCACTATTTAGCTAGCTGCTTACCTTTGTTACCTGCACATGAGTAAACTGATAAGCTAACGCTCAGCAAGTATAAACATGCACACATCACAAACTAGAAAAGAATTTCATTAAGAGTTATGATACAAATATGCTCGTGTGAAACATGTTTTTTGTCTTTCTGTTCTTACTACTGTGAGCCTAAGCCCCTGCTTACTGTCTTGTTACTGTGGGCCTAGGCCCCTGCTTACTGTCTAGTCTAGTCAGAATCTCTACTCTTTGAGATTTCCTCCCTTGGGAGGCCGACAACCCGTCAGTCTCTTTACATTACTGAACTTTGAGTTTTCATTTCAAAGTGTTAAAAACTTTACTGAATGATATGCAACGTTTTCTCTACGTGCATATGCTAACATGAAAATGCAATATACTTCATGCATACCTTAAATTGAGCATTAGGGGAACTACATGTCCCCCTTCTCATATTTACTATAGATCGAATATATTTTTTCCTTTATTATTGGATATTAGTCAGAACAATTGATGCCTAAAAATTTACCTAAGTTTTCTAAACCATCTAAAGCTTCTAATTTTAATCTAGGATCAAAAATAGTACATAAACGATACAACAAAGGCAACTTATACCAATATTTTATAAATTTCTTTTCCATAGAATGGATAGGAACTGCTAAGATTGGGTCCTCCTTATATTCGCTAAATAAAATACTAATTCGTAAAAGTTCTCCTAAAGCTAAAGGTGATGTTGGGTAATATGTTCCACTAAGTTTTAGAGTCACTTCATGAAATCTACCTAAAAATTGATACAAAACTTCGACAATTTGCCAATCATATGCGTCTATATGTCCTACTCCTACTTTTGCACACATATAGTTTGTTATAGCATCCTTATAAGGGATGCATTGTTGAAGCATTATGTAAGTTGAGTTCCATCTTATAGACATATCTAACGCTAATACTCTATGAGGTATATTTAATGGTTGTAAGAACCTAAACCAATCTTCTCATCTTTGGTTACTACCTTGAATCCATGCATGACTATCTCTAATTCTTTTAAGTGATTACTCATTTCTTTTAAACCGGATTTAACAATTAAATTAATTACGTGACATGCACAAAGTTGGTGGAAAATAGTATCGTCACCGAATAAACTTAAATCATTTTCAAAGAACTCAATTGCTTTTATATTGGCATTGACACTATCTAATGTTATAGCAATTACTTTATTTCTTAATATAAATTCATCAATTACATTTAAAATGGTATTATATATTAAATCTGTGCTATGTGATCCTATAACACATTTAAAACCTAATATTCTCTTATCTAAATCAAATCCTTTAAAGTAATGTCCGGTTACAGCTAAATAATCTTTATTGGTAACGATAGACCAAATATCTGCCGTTAACGCAACGCACCTGCTAGTTGAGTGTAAAAGGTTTATTAATGCTTTGTTTTCTTTTTTAAATAATTTTAATAAATCTTTTCTAAGAGTAGTTTTTGAAGTGAAATGTGCATTAGGATTATGTACAACCTTAATATATCGTTGCCAATTAGGATGCTCTAAAAAACTAAGTGGTTGATCTAAAGCAGCTCTCATTCGTGCAACTTTCATATGATCTACTTGTGGATCGTATTTCCAAGTGGTTAGACCACCGGTTGCGCAATCAAAAGATAATTGTGTTTGACGGAGTTCGGATCCGCCGGATTGGCTAAGCTTTTGAAAACACTTTTCAGAGTGTCTTCTCAAGTGTGTGGTGCCGTGAATAGTGCCACCTTGTAATTTAGATAAATAATATTTACACTGAGCTATATGTTTAGTGTTACCTTCATTGTCTATCTCCTCAATTACGTCGAAGTGTCCCAAACTGTCGAGATGCACTTGCATTTCCTCCTAGAGGTTGCAACACTTGCAGACGCAATCGCACTGGCACTCGCCACTTCTCCACGCCCACCACCATTGTGACCACGACCTCCAGTACGTCCACCATGGCTCGGATTAGTAGATTCTTGCATAACAAATTCATTAGTGGGAAATTGCCCTTCTTCCACGTTGTGTTGGGCATCAACGGCAATACCACTATAACCAAAAGGATCCATTATAAAAAAATAATAGCGATTTGAGAAAGAGAGCTTTAGGATAATGTAATAGTTTTTAAAAAAATTGTACTAGAGATTTGAGAGATTAAGAGAGATTGAGAGAAATTGATAGGGATTGAAAGAGTTTGAGTGAGACAAATGTGTTGGGGATGAGGGATATTTATAGGGAAATTTTTGGGTTAAAAAATTAATTTTTTTTATAAAACAATTCGGGGTGCAACGGCTACTTTAGGTTTCAGCGAGTTCGGGCGGCAACGGTCAAAAAACTAGCCGTTGGACGGGGTTTTGAGCATTCGGGCACTTCGGGCATCTCGGGCATTCGGGCAAAATTTTAAAATTATAAATTTTAACATTCCATTATCCATATCAAGTAATCAAGGTATTGATAAATTTTAAAATTATAAATGTTTTAATTTTTTTATATCTAATTTATTGTGAATAGTTAATTTTTAGTGTTAGCATGTATTAATATGTTTATTGTTGTTATTATTATTGTAGGAAATAGAAAATGGAACCAAATATGTATGGGTATGGTCTTGATGGTGTTGACTACTATGGAATGGATGATCAAGACATTGAAGAAGCAACAATTCAACGAATGGAGGTGAGTGACCAAGCAGGTGATATGCCACAAAATATCAATATTCAACCGAATCAACCCTCAGAAATGCCGACGGGTTCAAGTGGTTCAACATTATCAACGACAACAAAACATGCGAGATAACGTGCAGAATGTTGGAAATACTTCACTACACAAGAGAAAATTGATGCTGGAGGTAAGAAAATAAAATTAGCTACATGTATATATTGTAAACAAGTTTTGACCGCAAATTCTATAAGTGGAACTCGACACTTGAGAGATCATGGAGTTAAATGCGCTAGACTACATCAAGCTAGGATGGAGTCTACACAAACTCAACTTCAATTAAACCCAGATGGTTCGGTAAGTACTTGGTCCTATAATCCTCAAGTTGCTAAGGAATCTTTATGTCGATTTATTTCTGCTTTAGATTTACCTATTAATCTTGGTGATAACCCACATTATGAAGCGCATATTCAATGTGCATATTGTCCTCAATTTCAAAAAGTTTCTAGAACTACTACTATGAGTGATATGATTGCTGTTAGCGTTTATGCCCTTAGGAATAAATGTAACAATATTCTTTGAGATATTTTGACTATTAATAAAGATTTGTTTATTTTATATATCTATGAATTGTCCTCTTTATGTTCATAATAGTTGAATGTATGATAAGCAAACTGAAAGTCTGAGACTGTCATTCTAAATCTTTAGGTCATGCATGTAATGTGAAGAACATGCGGAAGACAAGAATCTAAAGATGATAGTCTAAATCTTATGATCCACAATCGAGGGAATAAAGTTGGGCGCTTTATTCATGTTAAGATTGTTATGTTGTCTACTTCC